TTCTTTAGATGGAGTGCTTCACATCTAACGGACCGACCCCTCGATATAACGGAATTTCATATCTATATAGTCCGCTAAATAAGAGGTTTTACTGTACGTTTAGTTGTGCGACAGGAGGCGAGTGTGTACTTGGTGAAACGTGAGTGAGGTGTACTGTAGCTGGTATAACATCGGTCAAAGGTGGTTAAGAATCAGGTCAAAGGTCACGGATAATTGAGGTATTGTGGTGTTTTGAGTTAGTTTTTTTTTTTGGTTGTACTGGAAAAGGTATACGTTTTGAGGGAAAAATTATTTGTTTGATGAAACAGGGTGGGGGGATATAAATTACCTCAGGAAAAAAAATAGATAATAAACGGAATTGAGAAGATGGAAATTTATATTACTTGGACATATAAATTGATAATAGTAATAATAACTTTGGTGGTGGTGAAGTGAGGAAAAAATATTAAATGTGTTTTGGTTATCTTCTCGACCAATCATACCTCATCGAGCACCGCCATCTAGTGACACAGTACAGAGTGAGTGAGTGAGTGTGTGTGTGTGTGTGTGTGTGTGTGTGTGTGTGTGTGTGTGTGTGTGTGTGTGTGTGTGGAAGTGAGGAAGTGTGTACTGTAGATTCTGAAGGAGCCAAGAACCAAGGGCAGGGAGGTGTGTGTGTGTGTGTGTGTGTGTGTGTGTGTGTGTGTGTGTGTGTGTGTGTGTGTGTGTGTGTGTACTGTAGGTCTGAAGGGCAGAACCAAGGGCGGGGGTGTGTGTGTGTGTGTGTGTGTCGTATTGTGTGTTCAAATATTTACCTGTAGATTCTGAAGAGCCAGAACCAAGGGCAGGAGTGTGTGTGTGTGTGTGTGTGTGTGTGTGTGTGTATATAGGTCTGAAGGAGCAGAGCCAAGGGCAGGGAGTGTGTGTGTGTGTGTGTGTGTGCTGTAGATTCTGAAGGAGCCAAGGGAGCCAAGGGCAGGGAGTGTGTGTGTGTGTGTGTGTGTGTGTATATGCCCAGATTCTGGAAAGGAGCCAAGAACCAAGGGGCAGGGAGGGAGAGAGAGAGTGTGTGTGTGTGTGTGTGTGTGTGTGTGTACTGTAGATTCTGGGGAGGAGCCAAGAACCAGGGCAGGGAGTGTGTTCGGCGTTCATTTGTATGTGACTGTGTTATTAATCAGCAGACAGACAGACAGAGAGAACGAGACAGACAGACAGACCCTTGGATAAAAACAGCTCTCTTACACGGCACCCAGAAGAGCAGGCTTATAGATTAGAGCGAGTGTGAGGGATTAACTTTTTAATCAACACACATCACAGGACCACAGAGGGGTTGAGGTGTAAATGAACCACACCATTCAGAGACCTTACACACAGGATAGTACACACACACACACACACACACACACACACACACACACACACACACACACACACACACACGTCTTCCCGAGGAGAATGACCATTGTCTTATGAGGATGAAAAAAAAATACATATACGTATGATTATTTATCTTCGTTAAGGAGGAATAAAAAATAAATAAATATATATCAAAAACAAAAATAAAATAAACAGCCAAATAAATACATCCCTAAGACCTAATGATGTATCTAAAAAAAAACTATACAAAATTGTGTTGAAAAAATATGACACCGCGGACAAAGGATTCTGACAACCCTACTGAGACAACAGGAGTCGTAGTATTCATTCTGAAATTCATCGCTCACCCTGGTAAAGATAGTTTGTTTTAGTGACTGAACTTCTCACTGTGATATTGTAAGGCAATGAGGCAGTGATCACGTCCCCAAATGTACTGACCTTAGAGAAATGAGTGGACAAGAAGTGGGCAAATAAGGATATCGCATTCGACTACAGTTCTAAATATGTGGAGTAGTTTCGATTCTTGTTTCTAAACCAGATGAAGATGTGAATAGGCAGTAGTAAGGCCTTGGTCCTCTACACACCTGAGGAGTGTCCTGAATGAGTGTAGGTTTTGGTACATGGGTTTGTATTGTGGTTCACTGTTGTCAGGAAAAAATGTCTCTCTCTCTCTCTCTCTCTCTCTCTCTCTCTCTCTCTCTCTCTATCTCTCTCTTAAATCAAGTGAATGTTATGGTTTTACTGAAGGTTCAGTATAGACAAACACAGGTAGAACAGGTTGTGCATGTGTAACGTATAAAGAAAATGAGATGATAGTGTCAAACATGCAAAGACTGAACAACTGGGCCAGCACAACACAAATTGAACTAACGGGAATCTACTTAGTTACAGACTACCTTAAAGAAAATGGAGGTGGGGTGATATTCGGCGACTCCCAAAGTGCTTTGCAATCAATGAACAGAACGTCAGGCTCTATGTCTAAAATTGTCTGTGATATTAAAAGAAATGTGATAACTGCTAAGGATAACAACTTTCGTATTGAATTTGTGTGGATTCCGTCCTACGATGGAATTAGGAATCATGCCTGTGCTGATAGACTGGTCAATGAGGCATGTAAGAATGAAAATGTGGACCGTGACCTTGGCCTGCCCAATGCCGTACTTGCAAACATTCAAGTTAAAATCATGAACTCTGATCTAGAAGAACTGAGAAATGCAAAGATACCTGGCAGTTGTAGCATTAGTAAATGTGACATTTTGTGACAAGAGATACCCGTATGGCCAGCATAAGGACAAAACCAAGATATGTGATGCGGTCGTGGCCAGAATTAGGCTATGATAAAGGCACATCTGTCAAGTTAGTAATGCTGTACCCACATCGGAACACTCAGCATGTAAACTTTGTGATAAACCTTTAAAGCATACACCTGAACACTGTCAAAGATTTCAGGCCACCCGGCTTATTGTATCATGAACTATGCAATCACTACATTGAATCAGGAGTGCTTGAGGACATTCTTGCTGTCTATCCGAAATTTGCTGCTAGCCCACACTGACTAGTCCTCAAATAGAAAATAACTTCTAATGTATATGAACCACTCTTCTGTGCGGCAGTGAACAGTGATATCACCCACATGACTCTGACCTATGTACAGTATAAATGAATATGATTTCTTTCTTTGTGTATGAACCTCTGTCCTGCGTGGCATTGAGAAGTGATAGCACCCTCAGTGTCAAGACCTGACTGAATTACTCAGAATAGGCAAACTGTACTACAAGCTTTGTCAATAAATTTGTTAGCCGTAATTAAACTCTCTCTCTCTCTCTCTCTCTCTCTCTCTCTCTCTCTCTCTCTCTCTCTCTCTCTCTCCTCTACCTACCTGCACTGAGGGAATTATGCAACTCGTCCAATATATACCAATGTTTTAGTTTTTCTTTGAATACTTAACACTTTGCAACAACACACACACCGCTATTCTAAAAGAGTATACACGTTATGTTATGTAAAAGGTAAATAGTGCTTTTTATCCCTCTGTCATCCGCACTTACATTGTAAACGAACTCGTAAATGTTTTTGTCGTCCCCTCGTTTGTCTACACAGTGTATGAATTTCCCATTTAATCTTCCAGTAAAAACACACACACAAAAAAAAAGAACAATCAACAACATTACATTTTCTATGATTAATGAAACGATGGATTTACACAACAAACATTGGATCACGTGAAGATTAACCACCCCAGTTTATAGTACTTAATGGTATGGTTAGGTTATGTTAAGTTAGGTTAGGTTAAGTTAATTTAAGTCAAGTTCGACTAAATTATGTTATGTTAGGTTGGATTAAATTAGGTTAGGTTAGGTTAGGGTAATTAATCGTACGGTAAATAAGCAGGTACGCCTAATCTTCAAGTGATTCCAAAGATCAATATTAAATTCATATTAAAAGAAAAAACTCCTTCCCTACCTGGTGTTGTCTTTTTACATGTATGTGTGTATGTATGTGCGTGTGTGCATGAGTGTCTACAACGATAGTTTAAACACACAGGATATTTAAGACCTTTAATAACTTTATAATCTGTTTACCATTATTTTCAGAACTCATTTACCTTTATAACTTGTGAGATGAGTAAAGATGATTTTTATAACTAACTTTATACGGGAGAAAAATACTTCACCTAAGCCTCCACAACACTGTACTGTACTTTGTGTACTTTTTTAATTAAACTATTTACATGGTATTTTATATATATATGTGGCATTACAGTAGTGACATTCTTTCATTTTATGTCATTCTCCTTTATATGTGGTGAGCGTATTGGTGAACGTGTTGGTGAACGTGTTGGTGAACGTGTTGGTGACTGTTGGTGGTGACTGTTGGTGACTGTGTTGGTGACTGTTGGTGGTGTTTACCCAGTCATATAGGTGAGCTGGTGTAGACTACAAAAGTATGCTGTGTGATTCATGTTATAATGTAGACCACAGTTCCATATGGATCAAGTAACCTATTTATACCAGTTCCTTCATCCTGTTATCCAAGATTATCCGGATAATATGTCAGTTAAGCTCAAATTAAACATGATGATTAACGCTATTTACACTGTATATAACAATCCTGTGTGCGTCTGTTACCAAATGGTTAATGGACTGACACAGATTACCAACAATTACTATAATTTAAGCAAAATTACGTTTCAACAGTATCAGCAATAATAATCTCCTGAAAGACCTCTCTCTCTCTCTCTGCAGTGCTGGTGACTATTTCATAACCAGGTGCGCGAATGAAAAAAGAGGGAACGCAGGTGTCAGCCACTCGGTGAGGGTCACTCGACAGGTCTGAATAACTTCCTTCTTCTTTGTAGCTATCGACACTTGCGTCGAGCAATTTAATATCTTGACATAATTTACAAACTACGTGTGAAAGTTCCCTTCCTGCTGGAATACGAATTAGAACGTCATTACGGAGTCCAGCTGTGAATTTCGTCGAAAAATATTGATTCCCGCTGTATAATGCAGCTCCCAGACACCTCCATCTTTTACCCAAGAGCAGTAAGTGAAAATGAATACGAGACTGAACGACGAGTTGAATATCATTTGATGTGGCTTCCAGAATTTGCTCAGTAATACTCTTTTACTTTTAACTTCAAGTGGATGAAGCTATTGACACAACAGATGGGGAGCGAGTATTGACGAGGTTACTGAGCGAAAAGTCATTCTGCGTGGAAAAGTGTGATCACTCTGGCAGTCAGCTTAGTGTAACGTTCAATAAAGAGACTGGCAACACCGTCACAGTGTACAGGGATGTATGTATGTATCTGGTAATTATCGTATGCTGGCAGTAGTCGGGGATCACACTTTAACATCGGCTACCAATACTTGTAGCAATTAATCCTCCATTTAACATCGTCCACCATTAATACACAATAACAATTAATTCTACAGGTAAACTTAGGTAAACTCTACATAACAAAGGGCTAAAGAATGAATTGACTATAGTTCTTTCATTATATTTAACTTCCCACCTAGACATACTTGTATATCTTTTTAACATAAAGAATTTTGTACCTACGCTTATATTTCTGAATAAACTTTACGAATCTGAATTTAAATCTGAATTATCGTACTTTGGAAAAACTTTGTTGAACCGCCAGATAGTTACATGGGGGAGAGAGAGAGAGAGAGAGAGAGAGAGAGAGAGAGAGAGAGAGAGAGAGAGAGAGACCATCCTACTGAAACACCACATACAGTATTACAGCAAAAGAGAGAGAGAGACACAGACACACTCACAGATAGACAGACAGAGTTCATCTTGGTGAAACGTGAGCCCCTCGACGTGTTGGAGTTAAGGTGCACCATAAACAGGAGAGGCCAAGGTAAAAAGGCAGTATAGGTGGAGAGGTTGTGGCGCAGCGCTCAAGGGATGATGATGGTCTTGCCAATATATACCGAGAGAGGATTGCCCCATGAGCTGTTTACCCCCTGACTCTCCTTTCCCCTCTCCCTCTCCCTATTTTTTTTCACCGCGTAAATAAACATAAAATACAGCCATGAGAAATAATAAAGATAATAAAAATAACTCTAGCAAAATAATTATCCAATAAATAATAAAAATATATAATACAATAGACGGCAAAAAATTACCTTAATATACTTACAAATTTACCTAATACAATATATATATATATATATATATATATATATATATATATATTAAATAAACAAACAAAAATATAAGTACAAATAATGGAAATAGATTTAAGAATAAAACTATAAAAAATAAAGGAAATCAATAAAGAAAAAACCAGAAGATAGAAAAATAAACCAATGAAATAAACACAACTTCAAAACTACAAGTGATAATTTAAGCCATTTATCAAAAACTAAATAAACAAGTAAATAAATAAAACAAACAAACACATTAACAACACAAACCGATAAAAAAGGGAATGAAAATATAAAAATAAATAAAATATAAAAACGAACAAACCAAAAAACACATTAAAACACATTAAAACACACACACACACACACACACACACACACACCAGAAATAACACTGAAAATATAAATCTCAGAAGACAATACCGTTTCCGAGTCATTGGTAAACATGACCTAAGCGCCTTATCGGGGGAGTACTGTACCTGAACCGCTGGGCATAACAGACTACTAAATCCTCACAAGAATAACTTTACAATCCTGACAAATAAATATAATTCACCTGAAGAACAGACACCCCTTATCTATTTCACCTGAAGATTAGACATGTCCCTATTTATTTCACCTGAAGATTAGACATGTCCCTATTTATTTCACCTGAAGATTAGATATGTCCCTATTTATTTCACCTGAAGATTAGACATGTCCCTATTTCACCTGAAGATTAGAAACCCTAATGCTACCTGAGGAGGTTAGGTTAGGTTAGGTTGAGGTGTTTTAATAATCTGGTGAAATAAGCTGTGGGTGTCTAATCTTCAGGTGAAATAAATAAGGGTGTCTAATATTCAGGTGAAATAGGGACGTGTTTAATCTTCAGGTGAAATAAATAAGGGGGTGTCTAATCTTCAGGCAATCTGTAAATAAACTAATATAAATATCTTAATGCAGTCGGTAGAAATATAAGCTTCGCGTGGTTGAAGCTTTGAGACACTGCGACAGACGCTTCAGTGTGTAAGGAGTGCTCTGTGTGCTGTGAGATACTGTGCGTGTTCAATGATCCCTTAGCGATAAACAGGCGATTCCCGACTGTGAAATAAGCAAACCCTCCCCCCTTCTTCCTTCTTCGCTTCCCCTCCTTTCCTCCTTCCCCTTCATCCTCCTCTTTCTTTCCTTCCTCTTCCTCCCCTTTTCCTTCTTTCCTTCCTCTTCTCCCCTCCTCCTCCTCCCTTTACTTCTTCCTCCCCCTCGCCTCTTTCCCTTCCTTCTTCCCATCCCTTCTCTCTGGCCTCCTCTCCATCCCCTTCCTTTTCTCATCTTTCTTCTCCTCCTCCCCCCTTCCCATCCTCCTCCCACTCCCCTTCCCATCCTCCTCCTAACCTTCCCCTCCCACCAGCATGAGAAATGTACTCCCTCAGATCCCCCGGGAGAGATAGCTGCAGGTGGCGTGAATCAAGCATGTCCCACGGGATGAGTCCGAATGTTACGTAGCACTAAGGGCGTCAGGACAACACCAGTGATCTCAGTTTGGTTTTGTCTTTAGTGTCTGTCTGTCTGTCTGTCTGTTTCATGGTCTCTTTCTTTTTCTCTATTTCTTTCCTTTTCTGTCTGTCTGTATGTCTGTCTGTATGTCTGTATGTCTGTCTTTGTCTGTCTGTCTGTCTGTCTGCTTGCTCTGTCTGTCTGTCTATTTGCTCTATCTGTCTGTCTGCTTGCTGTCTGTCTTTCTGTCTGTCTGCTCTCTCTCTGTATAATGAGAGTCTTTTCCTGGTACGCTACTCAAGGTAACTAGAATCAAGAGTAAAAATAAACATTCTTTTATCGCTACAAACATTACAATTATTATCTAATCGTTTCCTATATGTCTAGCCTTTATCACATTTTTTCATATCCTTATTTTTTCTTTTTTATTTCCTCCTTTCAATCATACCTCCAACTTTCTATTTTCTCCATATAATCCGCTAGAAGAGGGAGGGGTTCACATTTAACGGACTCTAGATATTACGGATTTTCATCTCTCTTTTGCCCGTTAAATAGAAGTTTTACATCTAATGGACCCTCGATATAACGTATTTTTCTCTATATATAGTCCGTTAAATAAAGGTTCCACATAAAACGGACCCTTGATATAACGGGCTTTCTTCTCTATAGTCCGTAAAATAGAGGTTCCACATAAAACGGACCCTTGATATAACGGACGGACTTTCCTCTCTATAGTCCGTTAAATAGAGGTTCCACATAAAACGAACCCTTGATATAACGGACTTTCATCTCTATAGTCCGTTAAATAGAGGTTCCACATAAAACGGACCCTTGATATAACGGACCTTCCTCTCTATAGTCCGTTAAATAGAGTTCCACATAAAACGGACCCTTGATATAACGGACTTTCTTCTCTATAGTCCGTTAAACAGAGGTTCACATAAAAAGGACCCTTGATATAACGGACTTTCATCTCTATAGTCCGTTAAATAGAGGTTCCATAAAACGGACCCTTGATATAACGGACTTTCTTCTCTATAGTCCGTTAAATAGAGGTTCCACATAAAATGGACCCTTGATATAACGGACCTTCCTCTCTATAGTCCGTTAAATAGAGGTTTTCCTGTATTGTTCTCAAGGAGGTCATTTTTGTCCCTTGTAATGAGTGTCTCCCCTTACAGCGACACTCCTCCATGTTATTCAGTTATAATGGAGGCTCATTAATTCCTCTATAGTGGCTCCTTTGACGTGTATCTCTCTCTCTCTCTCTCTCTCTCTCTCTCTCTCTCTCTCTCTCTCTCTCCATACACTTCTTAATGCACCTTTCACTTCCCTTCCCTCTCACTTACTCTCTATGATCCAATTTATCACCTACTGTTCCATCAGCCGTCACCTCCACTCTCACCTAGCCGAAACACCTCATTCCCTTTCCCATCCTTTCCCATTCTGTTTTATTTTCCCATCTTTATTGTTGTTCTACCTTCATACATTCATATATCCACACAACTCTAGCATTGGCAGCCTAACCTAACATTAACTTAACCTACCCTAGCCTAACCTAACCTAACCTCACATAGCCTAACCTAACATTAGTTTAACTTAACCTAGGCTAACTTAACCTTACCTAGTCAAACCAAACCAAACCTAACATTAGCTTAGCTTGACTTGACTTAACCTAACCTAACCTGTATTCAATTCATATACGATCTTTTCTATTCACACCAAACTTCACCTCACACCAATAACTTCACCTCACACCAATAACTTCACCTCACACTTATAATTTCACCTCATATCTACTTCACCTCACACCAATAACTTCACCTCACACTTATAATTTCACCTCATATCTACTTCACCTCACACCAATAACTTCACCTCACACCTAACTTCATCTACAACTCGACTTCTTTCATATATTTCTTTCAATTTTTCAAACTTTTACCTTACAGGTTTTACTCTGTCTTGCCTTATATCGTCCAAATCCTTTGACAGCTGAGGGTTTAAAATATCCTCCTCAAAGGGTTAAAACATCGTCATCAAAGGTTAAAATATCGTCCTCACAGGGTTAAAACATCGGCCTCAAAGGGTTAAAACATCGTCCTCAAAGGGTTAAAACATCGTCCTCATCATCTTCAAATGGTTAAAATATCATCCTCAAAGGGTTAAAACATCGTCATCAAAGGTTAAAATATCGTCCTCACAGGGTTAAAACATCGGCCTCAAAGGGTTAAAACATCGTCCTCATCATCTTCAAATGGTTAAAATATCATCCTCAAAGGGTTAAACCATCAACCACAAAGGGTTTAGCTAAGGATAACTTGTAGGCTTAGAATTTACAGGATATTTGATGACCCTATCTGTACACACCAATTATTATAGGCCAGACTATCACACTCCCCGCATCTGTTGACATTATAAGCCTCTCTAGTGGCCCCAGTGATGATAGGAGACGAGAGAGAGAGAGAGAGAGAGAGAGAGAGAGAGAGAGAGAGAGAGAGAGAGAGAGAGATACAAACTGTTTCTATATGCACACTATTATATATGTATACCCAGGGCCATCGAATACCCAGATAGACCTATATAACCTGAATAGAATACCCCGATTTTTTAGGACCTAAATAAAATACTTAGATTTAGCTATAAAACTATTTAAAATATGGGTATT